GAAATGTGGGGTCAGGGCTAAGATAGTAATCCAATATATTTTATATATTAGTGGCTTGGTGGGGTGGTTCCTTAATTAGGCTGCTGTTTACTTTTTTTCTTAGTTAACTACCCAACTAAAATGAGAGCAAACTCCACTCCCTCTTAGCATGGATGATGTTACCAAGTTTGGTAATGAAACGCCTGCAAGAAAACAATCAAGGTCAGAAAGCACCAAAGAGCCTATGGATGTACATACGCTTCCTCTGGTTTCTTCTGTTTCTCTCTCACACAAAGGGGAGCCTTTCCTCTGCTTTATCTCCATTTTTTAAATATAAATTCTCTTGAATTTCTGGCTGAGCCGGGAATCTGGTGGATTCCAGCTGACCCCTAATTTTTAAGAAGTGGCCTTTTCGAATAGAGCTGCTTAGAATCTGCATACGTTCCTTTTGTCCTCTTGGCGTAGCTGTGGCACTTTGGTGTGCAAGTCTCAAAAGGCCACATGAAGAGGAAATTTTAATTTGTGCAAATTATTTTGTATATCTGTGGTGAGCATCCTTGGAGTTCAGCTTGTACTAGTCCAGTTATACCTCAGTTTCAGGGGCGGGTTCCGGATCCCGCTGCAACCGGTACAGTTGCAACGGGCCCCAGCGTCCTCCACATGAACGAATGCAGTGCCCTCATGCATCTTAATGTCCAGCGCCGCCTCTGCGATGCTCCAGCTGCTCAGCTGAGTGCAGGAGCTGTACACACCATACCGGAACGGTACCTGGTGCTCCAGACAGGCTCCCGTTCGCCCGTACCGGGGTGTACCGCCTGCAACCCACCACTGCTCAGTTTCCAGTCATGCTAAATATTTCCAGCTTAGGCCCTCAAGAAACTGATAGGTCTGTAGTTATCTTGGATCTGCTTGGTTTTCTCCCTGATATATTGGTGCTGCTGCTGTAATCCCCAGTCCTTGTAACATAATTGTTATCTGATTTTAATATTTGGCTTATTAAAATTGCAGGGGTCTGCATTTCTGTATTAATGAGACGATCTTGACTCTCATTTCACAAACTTCTGCAGAATAAATTAGTGCTATTTTAAGGCTTAATCTGACAACCATAAAAATCCTCTCTCACTCTCAAAAAATGGAAAAACCTAGACATAAAAATCCTTTGGTCTTATACAATACCTCAGAATAATACAACATCAGTTGTTTTCTATATGTCCTTCAGTATCTTTATTTTGGTACTCAAAGAAGCAGAAATAAGTAGTTCAACATCAGTGTAATGTGTTTAGACACCCCAGAAGGAGGAAAAAAAAGTCATTTTTTGCTGTGTCACCTTGTTTAAACTTCATCTCTGATCAGCAGCGGTTGCAGGAACAATCCCGCTGTCCCCAAAATACACACGAGAATAAATACCCACAGGAAAATCCGATCAATTACCATGGCAACATATTTCCAGTCATCTTGAGTCTGGAAGAAATAAGCAGGAAAATTACATCAATTTTCTAATAATCTATTTTGTGTGCCTGCTATGCATATTTCAAAGCCATTGATTGTTACAGTTGTCTTTGCAGAGAGTGCAATAAATAGTTTCAAAACTAGGCCTGTGGTTGAACATCTTCAAAAGGCAGACCCTCAGGTCTTCTGTCTCAAATCTATACTTGAAACTAACGGGGGGGAGAGGGGGACTTAAATGAAAAATAAGTCTTTTGCTCCTGACTTTCTTCCTTGCCTAATTTCGGTTATCTTTTTTAAGCCTGAGGATGCGCTTGTTAAATATGGGAACGTAAACTATTCCGTGGAAATGGGAAGGCATTAAAATTACTGATGAACCTGTTGCCATGGAAGATAATTTGCAAAAAATACTCCTCTCTGCTTTCAAATAAATATTCAGGTGACCGGAAACTAACTTGATCTCTTGTTCACAAGGTTTGCCGAATAGGTGACTTCCCTATTTCCCCTTGGGGAAGAAAAAAAAATCTGTTTCCTATCGTTCTTTTAAAAAAGTGTGTATTTTTTTTATATTGGTTTCTACGTCTTAAGCACTGTGACCTTTTCATCTTGCAAGTCACAAATTGCACCTCTTTATTGCCTGCAGAAGAGCTAAGAAGTTCCTCCGTTCTTGGATGCTTCCACAGGCACCTGGCAGAAAGTAGACATGGCCTGAGACCACACAAGACCTTGGTCGATCTGAGCAGATGTTAGTTGCGTGTGGTCAGGAAGTGGCCAAAATGTGGACGTTGCAGAGCTATTAGCTGACGCCAAAGTTACCCAACTTGTGGACTTCAACTCCCAGAATTCCTCAGCCAAGCTTGACTTGAGGAATTCTGGGAGTTGAAATCCACAAGTCTTAAAAGTGGCCACAGTTGGTCACCCCTGATGGACAGTATCGCCTTACTAGCAAGAGGCCTCATCAAGTACGTTGTGCGAAGTGGAAATTAAAAGACATCCATACCTCCTTGGCTCTATTCTGTAGTTTCATGTTTTCAGCGATGTATTTGATGCTGTCCATCACGTCTCTCATTTCTGGCGATATAAGCGGAGATGGAAACAATGCATCCATAGACTCAGAACTGGAGCTCTGCGTCAGGTTGCCTGTGGCCTTTGAGTGTGTTCTGTGCGCGTGCAGGCAGCACATGTGTGTAAACCCTTGGCACAAGAAGCAGTCTTGACAGTACCTGCTGTCGGGTACCTGGATGAGGTTCAAAGGCGCCAGCTCTACATGGGAAGAAGCCTTCCCTTTCTCGGGTCTGCCCTCGTCTTCGTTGCTGGGGGGCCGCGTCATGAACATGACGCGGGGCAGAAATCGGAGGAAAACCACCTTCACCCAATCCGGCATGGTGTGCGTCCTGGGAGTTCTGTAGTGGACGTTAAGTACGAAGACGGTGATGATGATGGACAGAGTGACGAACAACATGGTGAAGAGGAGGTACTCGCCAATCAACGGGATGACCAGCGACGTGGAGGGGATGGTCTCCGTTATGACCAGGAGGAAAACCGTCAGGGATAAGAGGACCGATATGCACAGAGTAACTTTCTCGCCACAGTCCGACGGAAGGTAGAACACCAAGACCGTCAAGAAGGAAATCAGGAGGCACGGGATGATCAGGTTGATGGTGTAAAACAAGGGCAAGCGTCTCATGTACAAGGAGTAGGTGATATCCGGGTAGATGGCTTCGCAGCAGTTGTACTTCATGTCGTGCTTGTAGCCGGGGGCTTTGATAATGGCCCACTCCCCGCTTTCCCAGTAGTCCTTCAGGTTCATGGCGGAACCGACGAGCACCAAGTCGATCTGAGCTTTGTCGTAGGTCCAAGAGCCAAATTTCATGGTGCAGTTCTGGTAGTCGAAGGGGAAGTAGGTCACGTCTATTTTGCAGGAGCTCTTAAAGATGGCCGGAGGCATCCACGTGACGTTCCCCGTGTAATTGAGCAAGGCTTTCGTTTTGTCGTCCACCTGGAAGTCTCCGATCGCACTGTCAAACACAATTGAGATAACGGGTTGAGCATCGAATAGGTTCTGGCAGTTGGGATCAAGTTATCGAAGTTGACTGAGCAAACTATCTTGGCAGAACGTAGATGGGGGAAAGGAGGAGATTCTCAGTCACCCAGATCATGATTGTCCCAAAAGTTCAACTGGGCTCTGTTTTTCCTTGAAGAGGTTTTCATCCAAGGAGCTTCTTCAGTTCTGACAGCACCTTTGGGTCAATGCTGGGCAGCACAGAAGAGGGCTCTCAAAAGTTGGTTGACTGCAGGAGTCATGCCTATCATTGCCTATCTGGTGATTGGGAATATGCTACTCATGCAATTAAGCCATGCCTCCCCTCCTCCTCCCTCCCTCTCTCCCTCTCTCTCTCTCTTTCTTTTTTTTTTTTCTCTTTCTTCCTCTCCTCTCCTCCCTCTTTCTTTTTTCTTTCTCTCCCCCCTTTCTCTCCCCGCTTTCTCTCTCTCTCTCTCTTTCTTTCCTTTTTTCCTCTGTCCTCTTTTTTCCTCTCCTCCCTCTTTCTTTTTTCTTTCCCCCTTTCTCTCCCCCCTTTCTCTCTCTCTCTCTCTTTCCTTTTTGCCTCTCTGTCCTCTTTTTTCCTCTCCTCTCCTCCCTCTTTCTTTTTTCTTTCTCCCCCCCTTTCCCCCTTTCTCTCTCTCTCTCTCTTTCTTTCCTTTTTTCCTCTCTGTCTTCTTTCTTCCTCTCCTCTCCTCCCTCTTTCTTTTTTCTTTCTCCCCCCTTTCTCTCCCCCCTTTCTCTCTCTCTCTCCTCCCTCTTTCTTTTTTCTTTCTCTCCCCCCTTTCCCCTCTTTTTCTCTCTCTTTTTCTTTCTTTCTTTCCTTTTTTCCTCTCTGTCCTCTTTTTTCCTCTCCTCTCCTCCCTCTTTCTTTTTTCTTTATCTCCCCCCTTTCTCTCCCCCATTTCTCTCCCCCCTTAACACAGAATGAGAGAGAGAAAACACTCATGAAATATCAGGTATTTCTTGGGAAAGATCCACGAAGACTAATAGTGAGATTTACCCAAGTACTCTGGCGTATTTTGCTTGGAAGTTTTTGCAATCATCTCTCTGGGATAGTAATATTAGCGCTTAGGTACATTACAGGGAAGAAAATTTAAGAAGAGGTCTAATTCCGTAATCTTACTTGTTATATAACATGATGTCAGGTTTCCAGATCTTATTTGATGGCACTCGGACATACTGGACGCCACCGTACTTCTCTGGATCCCACTTGAGTTTGTAATCATTCCAAATCTGGCCAAAGGAAAAAAAAAACTTGAGATTTTTTTTTCCAGGTGCACCCATTTCATCCAAAACACTAATCCTTAAGAGAGAAGAGCTTTACAGCACCTTAAAAACAAGCAAGCATCCTATAAATAGTCCTTGCCTTACGACCATTCCTTTAGCAATGGTTTGAAGTCACAACTGACCTGGAAAAAGTGCCTTACAACCCATCCTCAAAGTTAAACAATGGTTCACTAACCCCAACCCTTGCATGATTATAATTCAGGTACTTGATAACCAAAGACACGGCTGGCTGGGGGAATTCTGGGAGTTGAAGTCCACAGGTCTTCAAGCTCGGGCTTGAGGAAACACTCTTGCTAGCTAGACACATTTTAAGAAGTGTGGACTTCAACTCCCAGGAACCCCCAAGCCCCAGTTTAAGACTATAAAAGCTGAGCTGGCAAAAAGCCAGGCAGTAGACTTTTGGAAAAAAAAAATCCCCAGGCTAAAGGCAGATAGAGAGCTTGGTTTTTTTTTGCTTTTTACAGGCCGTAGCATTTCTGCAAGTTGCTGCAGAGAGAAACTGGGCCAACCACACTGGGATTTCTCCTTGCAAATTATATCCACCCCCTGCCCTGGATACCACTTCAGAAAGCAGCGTTCATCTGCTTCCAAAAAGAAAAGAAGAAGAAGAGGGGGGGAAAAACAGTACAAATAAGCTTGCAACAATTCCTTAAGAGTTTAGCAGTTTAGGAAGAGAATTAGTTAGTACACCTAAAATAGGGACTAGGCAGGCCTTTTAAAAAAAGTGCATCTGATTGTGAACACTTCTCTCTTTCTCTCCCTTGTAGTCTTTCTGCCTTCCCTGAATGTTTGATAGAGAGAGGGGCTGTCTCTTGAACCCCAAGCAACTCATCTGCAACTTTCCTTTTCTACCGCCTGCTGCAAACTGACTCAACCTTCCAAGCAAAGGTGAGTGTGTTGTGATTTTTCTCTCCAAAAGCGTAATGCAAGCAACCTCTTGTCTTAACCAAAGACAAAGGAGACCCTCATTTTAGAGCAGGAATGTCCAAACTTGGCAACTTTTAAGACTTGTGGACTTCAAAACCCAGAATTCTACAGCCAGAATTCAACGCCCAGAATTCCCCAACGAGCCAGGTCATAAAATCGGGTGTGACATGCTTCACTTAATGACTTATTGTGACTGCTTAATGACAAATTTCCTGCCCGCTATTGTAGTCCTAAGACTAAGTGGAGGACTACCTGGTATTTGTTACATGCAAAAAAAATATTGACCATTAGATGTCAGCAGTGTATTAAAAGTGTATTTTCTAAAATCTGTGAATTTTTCATTCCCAAACCATCAATATCTGGAATAACTCTTTTACTTTAAAGACTGTTTGGATATGCGTGTCTGAATAAGTGATTGTGTGTTGCAAAAAAAATTTGTTAAGAATCCTAACTCCTGAAAAGTTGAAATGTCTTTCTAACACCACATTTCACTTTTCTTCTCTCTCATATTCTTTTTATACAAAATCTTATTTTCTTATTTATTACTTACATGCTTCAGCCATAAATTAGTCTCCATAATCTGGTTCACTTCATCCTGAGTGGGGGGGAAAAAAAACATGTACTGTATTTAAAAACCTGAATTATATAAAGCTCGGCTGAGCATCTGATCTAAAACAGCCAACCATTAGTACTTGAATGAGACACTCTCGGAAATTGCACTTATTGATTAAACTGCGGGGGAAATGGGGAAAAAAAATACTCAGGATGCTTAACCAGATTAAAGTTTTGAGATAAATAAAAGAAAAGGGTCTCCAGTTACTCACCACTTTGACCAGCTGAGATAAAGACACTTCGAACCAAACCATAACAGGATCGGACACATTTTCAACAGGCCTGATGATTTTGTTATAATTGGCAAACAATTCCTTATAAAGCCGGTGTTCATCATCAGAACAAAACATACCTTGAAAAAAAAAACAACACCACAATTTTCCCTTGTACGGATCTGAGATTTCTGCTCTTTTGGGCGATCTAAGAAGCAATTCTATTTGTATCTGCATTTATTAGTTTGCCAAATATGTACAGGTATAAACATGGATATGAACAAAAGATATGAGTACAAATAGATGGGGGACAGTAGGACAGGGATGGTAGGCACCCTGGTGCATTTATGCACAGCCCCTTTTATTGACCTCTTAGGAAAGGGGTGAGGTCCGCGGTAAACAGTTAAAGGTTGAAGCTGTGGGGGTTTGAGGATGTAACAAGAGAGTCTATTGCTGAAGTCATATTTTCTGCAATCGAGTTTGAAGAGGTTTACAAACCTTGAGTTTGTATCGATTGTTTGCCTGAGTGTTATTAAGGTTGAAGCCAAAGAAGTCGTTGACAGGTAAGGACTTTGTAGCAGACAATTTTGTCAACTGTGCTTAGATCATACCTGTCATTTTGCACATGTTTGACAAACAAAGAAACAAATAAATCCAATGGCATCTTTTCTGACTAATAGATTTTATCCAATGAGATCGACTTCAGCGACCTACCGCTCTCTTCATCAGATGCATGGAATGGCTGAAGTGAGGCGTGGTTCCTCCCAAAACTGCTGCCTTTTAATAAATTGTGTGTGTGTGTGTGTGTGTGTGCCTGAAAAAGTGCTCTTGATCCTCTCTTGATTTTTGGCTATTGTAGACTGAGAGCAGCTGGCTTCCTCCAATTACGCAGAAGGAGGGAGCGCTCCAATTTAATTTCCTTAATGTTGATGTGGCAGGCACTGAAAGCACCATTTGCAGTGTGTGTTTGAGAGATGGAATTAATGTGGACCTGCTGTCGTGGGCCGAGAAGTGTTTTTCTTTTTGCTCTCCCTGGTAAAATAAAACTTTGGGGGGTGGGGAAGCAATCTAATTAAACAAACAAACAAATCCTGAACAAAAAAAACAGGCTAATTTGGCAAAAGGGACTTGTTTTATGTTAGGTAAATGGCCTGCATTTTAAATGGCAAAAATCTATATTTGATTCATTTATATCTAGTATTATATTTTTTTCCCCTTGCGTGAATAGTGCTTGCTTTGTTTCAAAAAAAAATCATTACAATAACACATTTTGCATTATGCATTCTTTTATCAATAGAAGGCCCTCGCTAGCTTTATCATATGTGGAACATAACCAGAGATGAACCGGTCGTTTGCTGCTGATAGGTTAAACATCTGTGCCTTTATGTACATTTTCTCTAGCAGATAATAATCCACGGAAATGATTCAGACTTCATCAGAATTGCAGATAGATAGATAGATAGATAGATAGATAGATAGATAGATAGATAGATAGATAGATAGATAGATAGATAGATAGATAGATAGATGATAGATAGATATAGATAGATGATATAGATCAAGATAATAAATGGATAAAGATAATACAGATAGATATAGAGAGATGATAAAGATGAGAGAGAGAAAGAAACAATATAGATAAAAGAGAGAGAGAGCTGCTAAAACGTGCATTAATACATATTGAAATATTTAGTAGTTGTCCTTATACCACACCCAAGTCTGAATCAAAATACTCTTGCAAGCTGAGTTTGGGAAGGTTATAACTGGAAGAAATTGAGGGGAGCGGGGGGAGAAATCTAGGGTAGAAAGAAGGAAAAAACGAAGAAGCAGGAAATGTTCCTCTTAGTACCACTGTCAAGATGGAAAGAGGAGGCATTGTTTGCTGGCGTACGCCAAGCCGTGTATGTTGGATAAAATGCTGTTCTGGAAGGGGGAAGTTGTTTTTAGAAAGTAGGAACTGAAAAGTTCTTATAGAGGACTTCAGCTCCTCCTTGCTTCAAAAGATTCTAGAGAAAACTGGCCCGGACAAAGTCTGAAATCCTGAAGAATTTGAATTGGTGGACTGATGGGAATGTGTTTTCATCTAAAGCAACTTCCCCTGTTCCTCTCTGAGGACGTTTGCATGAGCAAATACGTTATTCAGATTCAGAATTGAGCTGGAAGGGACCTTGGAGGTCTTCTAGTCCAACCCCCTGCTCAATCACCCTCTTCCATTCCAGACAAGTGACTGTCCAGTCTTTTCTTAAAAAACTTCCAGTGACCCACAGCTGCTGGAGGCAGGCTGTTCCACTGGTTAATTGTTCTCACTGTTAAGAAATTTCTCCTTAATTCCAAGTTGCTTCTCTCCTTGGTTAGTTTCAAGGAGAAACTAATTATAATTGTACTGAAGGCTTGTAACTTATGATTTAAGACTTATACGTTATGACTGAAGTTTTGGCTGCTGACATTTCTGAAACTTGGCGTTTCTTGAGGTTTTGCCATTTTTTCATCAAATCAACAGGGTGCTACACAGTCTTAGAAGCATTTGGTTGTTTCCAAGAGTCGAAACAAACTTAAAAGTCCTTTCATCAGGCACTTAGAAATATTTTCATCCCAGTTTGGCCAGAGAAAGAGGATTCTCAAATCTCAAGGTTCAAATATAAAATAACAGAATTAGAATATAAAATAACAGAATTGCAAGGGACATTGGAGGTCTTCCAGCCTTCCGCAAAGCCCTTAAAACCTGGCTGTTCTGACAGGCCTGGGGCTAAAGAGCTTTTGCCCCCCTCCTCGAATGGTATGNCTGACTCAATTTGCTAAAAAAAAAAAAAATCTGTAAACCGCTTAGAGAGGGCTGAAAGCCCTATGAAGCGGTATATAAGTCTAATTAATAAATAATAAATAAATAAATCTTGTAAGTTTATCAAAAGTAACAAAATAAAAACTACAAACAAATACGTTTTTGAAGCAAAGTAGCAACTTTAATAGTAACATAGTAAACGTTTCAATTGTTGCTTTGTGGGCTGTTTCAAGTTCAAGATAAAATTGAAGAAAAAAAGTCTCTATTCTTTTGCAGGAATGGGTTGATGTGAAGCTGATGTGGGATCCCGAGGACTATGCCGGAATAACATCTATCCGTGTCCCTTCAGCTTCACTATGGATTCCAGACATTGTTCTATATGATAAGTAAGTATTTCACTTTTTAAAATATATTAAAAGGGCAGATCGACCATATAGACTTGGGCCCAGGAGAGTGTGAGGAAAAACCAGGCTAAAAAGACCTGGATGGATAATGAAATAAAAGGATTCAATCCCCCAAGGAAGAAGACTCATAGGATTGCAGAGAGTTCTTACCCAGAGGGAATTAAAAACCAGGAGTATTCCCCTTAATATAATACCACTACTTGTCCTTCTGGAAAAAATGAACAAGAAGCATCAGAAAAGATGCTGAGCCTATTCCCCAGAGACTGCATTCGGAGCACTGGTAGAAGATAATTGGGTCCTCATTTGAGGATCTCATCATGTTAAGAAGTGCAGCACCTCATTAAGAAACACGGTTTTATTTTTTTACCTGTTGAAGGAGAAAGTTTTTATAGAAGGGCGGGTGTGCCTGCAAAAAAGATTCCATCCATTCCTTTCAAAAGAGGATCATTCAAAATCCTGATTTTACTTACTCATTAGCTCCTATTCATTTCATCAGTTCATTAAATTAATTCTTTGAATCGTGGCTGGAGGGCGCCCTACAGGGGACATCTACATTAACTCAATTTTTATGTCTGTAAAGGATTATATACAATTTCAAAATAATTTTACCCTGGGAAAAAAGTACACTTACTATAGCTTTTTGTGGAAAAACAATATCTTTCCACCTTTTGTAACCCTTTGCTGATATTCTTTCAGTGCAGATGGTCATTTTGAAGGGACGTCTACAAAGGCCATAGTGAAGCACGATGGCACTATTGTTTGGACCCCACCTGCAAACTTTAAAAGCTCTTGCACCATTGACGTCACTTATTTTCCATTTGACCTCCAGAACTGCTCCATGAAGTTTGGCTCGTGGACATACGATGGTTCTCAGGTGGATATAATCCTTGTGGATGAAGAAGTAGACAAAAGAGATTTCTTTGATAATGGAGAATGGGAAATAGTAACGGCAACGGGTATCAGAAGGAACAGAACTGATGGAAGCTGCTGGTACCCCTTTATTACCTACTCGTTTATAATTAGGCGCTTGCCTCTCTTTTACACTCTATTCCTCATTGTTCCATGCATAGGACTATCTTTCTTAACCATCCTCGTCTTCTATCTTCCCGCCTACGAAGGGGAGAAAATCTCCCTCTGCACTTCCGTTCTGGTCTCGCTCACCGTCTTCCTTCTAGTCATAGAAGAAATCATTCCCTCTTCTTCTAAAGTCATTCCTCTGATTGGCGAGTACTTGGTCTTCACCATGATTTTTGTGACGCTGTCTATAGTCATCACTGTCTTTGCTATTAACGTTCATCATCGATCCTCGTCGACGCACAACGCGATGGCGCCGTGGGTTCGCAAAATATTCCTCCAGAAGCTTCCCAAAATACTTTGCATGAGAAGTCACATCGATAGGTACTCGGTGCCAAAGGAAGAAGAGACGACGGGCACCCAGGGATCCGAGGAATCTAGGAATACTTTGGAAGCAGCCTTAAATTCTGTCCGGTACATTATAAGACACATTGTCAAAGAGAACAAAGTACATGAGGTGTGTGTTCGAGTTGTGTTGCACTCAATGGCTGAGTTGAACATACCGTACTTTTTGGCGTGCAAGACTCACTCCCCCCCCCCCCCCCCCCCAAAAGAAGGTGGAAATGTCAATGCGTCTTATACACCGAATACGGCCATTTTTGGCCTCCTGAAACCCCGCCCCTTGCATCCCGTTTTCTGCAAAAACAGGGCACACAGAGGGTTTGGGAGGCCTGCAGAGTGCTCCTGGGGGTTTGGGAGGCCAAAAATGGGCTAGTTTTTCACAAAAGTGGGATGCACAGAGGGTTTGGGAGGCCTGCAGAATGCTTCTGGGAGCTGGGGAGGACAAAAACCTTTTTTACCCTTATTTTCCGCTTTGAAATCTTGGTGCGTCTTATGCTCCAGTACGTCTTATAGTCTGAAAAATACAATAATACACGAGATTAGGCAGTAGAACCTTAATCTTGAGCCCTTGGTGCTTTATGAGCTTGGTTGTTCGCTTGCGGACATTTCATTACCCAACTAGATAGCACCATCAGTGCTCTAATGATGTTGACAGTGATAATCTCATATTGATGATGTAACCTAGCTGGGCCATGAAATGTCTGTAAGAAAACAACCAAACTCAGAGAACATCAAGGAATCCACAGTTCAACCCTGAGCTACAGGAAGAAAGAACCTTAATTATTTGGTTGATTTCAGATGCTGTACTGGTTTTGGATGTCTTTGAGAGAAAGGGAAATCTTAGTTCTGTTGATGGAAACCATTCTTTCAGTAGCAACATCGCAATATCTAAACCATTGAATAGTTTTTGTCATATCTTACTATCGTTTGAGTGATGGGTATCATATGAATAATTTGGTCTATTGTTTTGGATCAAGATAGTGAAGATTTTGGGATCAATATCATGCTAAAAAAAATAAGAGAAATGATTTCTATCTCTTACAGTGACTCATATTTGTCTGTAACCCATTTTTCCCTAGTTTATATTTAAAAAAATATGATTCAAGCCTTAACAAGCACAAGTATTTTTAAATAGACTGGGTTTTTTAAATTCCATGATAAAATTCAGTTTCAGTAATTTACTATTGAGTAATAAGTAAATTACAATAGGGAATACCTATTACAACAATGGTTTATATATTTCTGATTTGTATCCTTTCTATTTATTATTCTGTGACTTTTGTTGCCTCTGCCTGCTTTGTTATTTTCTAGGGAATTAAACTCAAGATAGAACCAAATGCTTAAGGAAAGTTACTGACTTTTTTTTCTACTTCTTTTTGTTTTAGGTTGTGGATGACTGGAAGTTTATAGCTCAGGTGCTTGACCGCGTGTTCCTTTGGCTGTTCTTTCTGGTTGCGGTTACTGGGTCCCTGGCCCTGTTTCTTCCTGCAATTCATAAATGGGCAAGCAAAATAGTACCACTCCATGCAGGGATTGTTAATAAATAAGTGAGTGAATAGGGGCAGAATTCCAGCAGTGTTTCTAGATATGCGAATTCCTAGAATTCCTAGATATATTTAAGTACTTTCTAAACTAATAATGAAATGTCTGAGAATGCAATTGGGAGGGGAAAATTAATGGTGATGTTTAACCAACCAATTGTAAGATGGATTCCACCCCCCCACTCTTAATTATAGCCTATCTGGATGCCATCAGCATTCTTAAGATTATTTATATAACAAAAAGTATTAACACGACACTTTAACATTTAAGGTGTCTAGTATGCACATCATTGAAACTGCTGCAGCAGTGGATGCGGAGAAGTTTTGTCAGGGATCAGGGCAGGGGGTCATATGCCCAGGCAATTGGTTCTTCTGGATCCAGAGACAATGAGCACACCAAGGAACAAAGAGATTTTTTTTAAGTTTTGAAACTCTGAGGTTTTCACAGATGGAAAAAAAAAAAAGCTTTGCACAATGGGAAGATTTCACAGCTCCTCTTCGCAAAAAAAGAAAGTTTTTTAAAAAGCACATTAGCTCAGAATGAGCTCTGAACGTCTAGACCAGGGCTGTCCAACCTTGGCAACTTTAAGACTGAACTTCAATTCCTGGAATTCCCCCATCCAGCTGACTGGGGAATTCTGGGAGTTGAAGTCCACGGGTCTTAAATTAGCAAAGCTTGGACACCCCTTAGACTAACGTAAAGGAATCTCTTCTTGAATCTCTTAACAAAATTGACTATGAATCTCCATCTTACGTGTGTAATGTTGTTATGTGTTATTTCCGTACACCTTTACTGCTGCCATCCATGCATTTTATGCCGTACGCTAAAGAAATAAATGTGAAGGAGAAATCAAATTATGCCGCTAAACTCAAAATACAACGGTCTTCCGCATTGCCTCTACCAAGGAATACAGAACGTTTTAGATTTTTTTTAGTCCGCTCATGTGAGGCGTGAGTAATCCTTGTAGCAGATGAGGGCTCTCCGTCTCTTACACTTAGCATTTGATTCCCAAACTGTCACGCAGAATTAAGCTCAGTTTTCCAAGGAACTGGATGGAGTGGGAAGGGTGAAAAGTGTAAAGCGGCACAGAAAGTTGTGAAATATGCAAGTACACCATGGGAGTGTTTTCGACTTCCTAATGCAATTTCCCTTCTAAATAATCCCAAATTTTTTTGTGTGTTGCGATAACACAATAACAGTGAGGAGAATTAACCAGTGGAACAGCTTGCCACCAGAAATTGTGGGTGCTATCCATCATTGGAGGTTTTTAAGAAGAGATTGGACAATCTCTTGTCTGAAATGGTATAGGATCTCCTGCTTGAGCAGAGGGGGCTGGACTAGAAGACCTCCAAGGTCCCTCCTAGCTCTATTCTAATTCTAACCAAAGTACCTGAAGTCTGCTACGAATTTCTGCGAGTGTAAGAAAATAAAGACACCCTCCCATGCGGCTCGACTCTCATGCAGTTTTCTTCGTAGCCTTACAGAAGCCATTCATTTATTCCTTTCTTCGAAATGAACAATCAAATCATGGAATGAACAATATGCTACAGCAAAGGTAGATAATATAATCTAAACACACTTTTAGAGAGATGGTATACAGTTGGAAACCTTTTGTGTCAATTACACAACAGTTCCGAAATGAATGTTTGCGGTGATATGAGCTGGGATATTCATCATTATAGTTGTATTTTGTGTATAGCTGGGAGTTTTTAAAATATTTTTTTAAAAATCAGATTTATTTTTAGATTTTAGAAGTGTACTAAATGCACTTTAAAGATGATAATTATAGACAATAAATTAAACTTTGCATTTGATACTTGCTGTTTGTTAAGTTTGTAAATCCCAGGGGACTTTTTAAATTATATAATGTATTTCATTAGGAAACCATCATTTCGAAAGTGGGTTAATTAAAGATTCCTTAATATTTATCTGCATTGCTTAGAGGGTTTCATGTCTTCCTCTCAGCCTTTTTCATATAAGTAGCCGAGATTTGTTGCCTTTCATGGAAAAATCATTCCTGTTCTTTTCCTTTGATTTAGCTTCCTTGAGACCAGAAGCTGAAAACCAATGCTCACTATCATCTTAATTTCATTTGTCTGCTGCAATGTCCCATGNGTCTTTTCCCCCACTTGGAGCTGAACCCAGAAGGACATTTCTTTCAACAAGACAAATGGGTGTTCCAGTCTCTTCTTTAAAACCTCCAGTGATGGAACACCTACAACTTCTGGTGGGGAAGCCGTTCCACTGGTTAATTGTCCTCCCTGTGAGGAAGTCTCTCCTTAGTTCCAAGTTGCTTCTCTCCTGGATTAGCTTCCATCCATTGTGTAAATGAAGACTCAACCATCCAGGTCAAAAGTATTTCAAAAGGTTGAATCATGACAACTAGACCAAAGTTGGCCTGGATGGTTGAGTCTTCATTAGCACATTGTTTTTCATTTTGGGGAGAAGCCCCTCCCTCCCTCCCTGCAGTCTGAATGGCAAGAGTTGGTTCATTCCATCAACACTCTTATCTACCCCCAAAAAATATTTTGATCGAAGAAATTACTTGGATGAGTAGCAAAACATCTCAGTTTTAATAAACGTTAGTCCAGTGGCCATGATTTGTCAGAGTTGCACATTGTGACTATGTGAGACAACCCAGGAGCAACTACAGTAAACAGAGGTTTATATTTAAAGAGTGGTTTTGTCAATATAGAATATATACTTACACATACTTTAATCAGACCTCAAAGGAACAGCAATCAGCAATTACAGCACAGAAACACATATGGGGAGAGAGAGATATGACCACACACAGGGCCTCTTCTTATTACAGGCTCTTAAAGTGATATCAGCCAAAAAACTTTGCTGACTCATTCCCAGCATTACATTATTGTACCGTGTTTCTCCGAAAATAAGACAGGGTCTTATTTTCTTTTGACACCCCCCCCCCCAAAATAAGCATTTGGTCTTATTTTCGGGAAGGCCTTATTATTTTTGAGATGCAGGAGGTGGTGAGCATGGTCATCTCATGGCTGCTGCTGTGTTGCAATATATTTCGGGGAGAGCTTATTTTAGTGCATCCATTCAAAAGCCCAATTGGGCTATTATCCAGGGAGGTCTTATCAGCTGGTCAGTTCTTAAATCCTTACCCTGACATAATTTAACATTTTTTGAGACTTCAGTCCATTGTTTTTTGCCTTCTGGTGCTTTCAACCCTGAGCTACAGATATTATCTTCTCGTCTGTAGTTTTTCTAATGTCCGTCTTGCACAATGGGGGAAAAAAAATTAATCCTTACCTTTAAGAGGGCTTGGCTAAACCTTCGCATGACGTTGAGGTACATTTCGTGAGTCTTGGGGTCCCTCTGCTGTGTGTCCCGGTCTTCGCACTCCACAATCACATACCTTTCGTGGGGACAACAAGAAGCTGAGGTGACTGGTGGAGAAACAGCCGCAAAGGACCAGTTTGGGGAAAGAAGGGAACGTCTATATGCAGTNTTTCTTTCTTTCTTTCTTTCTTTCTTTCTTTCTCCTTCTTTCCTCCCTTTCTCTCCCCCTTCCTTCTTCCTTCCTTCCTTCCTTCCTTCCTTCCTTCCTTCCCTCTTTCCTTCCTCCCTCCTTCCCTCCTCCCTCCCTCCTTTCCTCTGCCATTCTCTTGATTTTTAGCAATTCCTTTCTGAGTAGATAACAAACTGTGACATTCACACCACATCAATGTTTGTTCCTTCCCACACCCACCCACCCTTCACTCTCCCCCAATGTATAATGCAATCAAAGGTGCCCACAGTAAGACGATGGCTGGCTGACCTTCTGGCTTTGACCATAGCTTTGTCAATAACAATCATTCTAAAAGTGAATGTAAGCCAATTTGCACTGAGAGAGGCTGGGAGGTGGGGAGGGGATGGGGGGGGTTGTAGAAAGACAAGGAAATCCATGATAAATGAAAGACTAATAGAAGAGAATATTTGCAGGTCAGGGTTAAAATGAGGGGTCCTTCTCTGAGCTTGGTTGTTTTCTTGCAGACATTTCATTACCTAACTAGGTAGCATCATCACTGCTAGAATGGTGTGGAGCATGCTCTCCAAAAACATAACAAAAAGAACCAAAACACTTCAACACTCAAGACAAGCAGATTAACACTAGGCCAACAATCAAGAAGTACACTTTATATCCCAATAAAGAAACGACTAACTCAGATAAACCAGCCAAGGAATGCATCACCAAGACACATTTGTCACCCTGGGGAAATCAGAAGTTTTTAAAAAGCTTTCTTTCCTTCTTTTTCTTTTCTTTCTTTCTCTCTCTCTCTTACTTTCTCTCTACTATTATTTCTCTCTCCCTCTCCCTTTCTCTCTCTCTCTCCATTCTTTCTTCCTCCCTTTATCTTTCTTTCTTAGTTTCTATTTCTTTCTTTTTTCTTCCTTTCTTTCTCTCTCTTTCCGTTCCTTCCTTCCCTCCTCCCATTATCTTTCCTTCTTTGTTTCTTTTCTTTCTTTCTTTCTTTCTTTCTTTCTTTCTTTCTTTCTTTCTTTCTTTCTTTCTTTCTTTCTTTCTTTCCTTCCTTCCTTCTTCTTTCTCTT